AAAGAGAGAGATCTTTTTTATTTTATGTATTTCCTGTTTTGTTACTCTCTCCAAACTCAAGTTGGTTAGTTTCTCTCCTCCTTGAGTTTGCGGGGGCTGTTAAGAATTTCCCATCTTTACTTCCACCTACTCCACTACACACTCCACTTTCACCTACCTCCACTTCACCACACACTCCACTTCACCTAACCCACTATCACCTCCACTACACCTACTAACCCACATTTCTTCTATATATAGATTGTATAGGAATTGTAATTAATAAATCTTGTAAGACATCAATCAATAATATACATCAATTTATTTTTTTCAATGCCAATAACCTCTTGCTAACTGAGCTTCTCTTGCCATCTACACTACTAACTAAGCTCCTCTTGCCACCTTTTGTGGGTCTCGATGTTCTCGAAGTCCTTGGAATGTTCATCTCTATGTAAATGTTTACAGATTAAGCTTTATATTATCATGCTCAAATTAAGCTATGTGCAGGCTATGGGTTTATGTTATGTTTTACAAAGCTTATTGGTGTTCATTCATTTACCACTTTATTATATTACTATTCACTGGGTAATGGCTCACCCCTCTCCCTTATATATATATATATGTATGTAGGTGATGAAGAGCTCGATTATGAAGAGAAGTTTGATTAGAAGTCGGTCTTGTATACTTTGTTCGTTTTGCAAGGTTTTGTTACGAGTGATGTACTTTACTTTTATTGTATGGACCATGTAATAAAGCAAGATAATAATCCAAGAGGATGTATGCTTTCATTTCATATAGTTATGCACTGCTCTAAATTGATGTTTTAAAAAGACTCAATATAACAAAATAATGGCTTCTGCACTAGAAAATTAAAAAATTTGCCCCAATTATCATAGGAGTCCAACTTGTTTTGAAAGTTAGGCCTTCAGCAATCCGCGACTACTGGTTACACTATCCTATTTAGGGCGGGATTGGGTCGTGACACTCAGTGTTTGCAACTTAGTAGCAAGAATCATAGAAGGGACTCATGTTTTTGAGGCAGAAGCGTGATTTTGCGCTTCTGAGGAAGAATCGCATAAGAATAGTGCTTCTAATGTGAGAAAAATGCGATCTCGAGCTCTCGATCTCTCTATCTCTTGATCTTCTTCTCTCTTGCGATCTCCTTCTCTGTTTCAATCTCCTTCTGTCTCAATTTTCTTCTCTCTCTCGATCTCTCTGTCTTGATCTCCTCCTCTCTCTCTTTTGATTGTGTTGTGCGTGCATGAGAGAAGAGAAGAGAGAGTCTCCAATGTTGTTTTGTGCTGCAACCACTGTTCTCATAGGAGAGAAGAGAAGAGAGATAGAGTTTGACTGACTTGGTTTGTATGTTAAACCCTAATAGGCTGGATCCAAATAAATAAATAAATAAGTTTGGGCCTATTTATAAACTTGATTCAACAACAAAAATTTAAGCCTTTTTTTATAAATAACATGGGTTGTTATATGACTTATACATGTGATCATATTCATAAAAAAAAAAAATTGTTGGGACAACGTTTTTTTTAACTCATCTTTATATATAATAAATATATTTACAAAATAACTATTTAATATGGGCTCTACTTTTTTCATTTATAATATATATATATGTGTGTGTCAATTAAAAATATAATTAATAAAAATAATACATAAGCGCTCCCAAACTATGACTCCTCTAAGTCCCCACGTTCCCCCGTTCCCGCTTCGTGCAACTAAGGTTTGCAACAACTGGGAAGGCAGTCATAGAAGCGAAGCCTATCGCCACGCCAACCATCAAATACAAGATTGGGCCTCTTCTCAAAGATTTGATGGAACGGCCCAGCCCAAAAAAGGAAGGTTATAGTACGCAATGCGTTCCATTTGTACAAATCACGAACATACTACGCACGACCGGACGTAGAACCACTAAGAGCTGGTTATTGAAGTTAAGAGCTTTCAAGATATGATTTGTTCATGTGGCACATAGATGATCATTCTTCCAGGGACAATGTTTGTAATCTTTTAACTAAAATGCTTCAGCAATTTCTGACAAAATGATGAGATTTCAGGATAAGACAGCTCAACATACTGTTGACCCAAATAAATTACCAACCACTAACGATGACTCATACTGTTGACCCAAATAAATTACTAACCACTAACGATGACTCATGAATAAGAAATAAACCGAGTTCAAACCATTCTTTAAAATCCCAAAACCTTCGATGGATACACTAATTATGGCATGATAATCATGTGACACTTACAAAAGCAATACAGCTGTTAACTATGTGTGTGCGCTACACTGCTTGTTTGTATAAATACAGCATTGACATATGAATATAAGGTCCTGGAGAAACTAAGAGGAAAGGCATAACAAACAAATGCAAAGAGTGAGAATTTAGTTGATAAATCATGTAAAGAAGAGTTTATATTGTAAAAAATCTTTCAGATAAAAATTTATATATTACTAATAATAAAAACAGCATAAAACCTTTAGAATGTTTATCCTCTCTCCCAGAGCAAAGACAGCAGACCGGTTCTTCAAAGGCTCTCTTCCTCTAGAAAATAGACCCGTACTCCTGGTTTCAACACCTATCAGATCACTAGATGTTGCTATATCCAATTGCAATTTCTCCAATGCTTGAATATAAGCACGGAAATGTGCACTCAAAACCTGCATATTAAATAAGTAGAACTTTAGAACATATGAAAACAGAATTTCCTTATCCTAGTATATACTAGATAACGATAATCAGATCCTCTATTAAGTACAAAACCATACCAGTTATTTTCAAGTGATAATCAAACAGGCATTTCTTATGAAACTATCATGAGCAAAGCCACAGTTAACTTGTAAGCACAAAACAACCAGAGGAGAGAAACTGTAATGCAGAGTCTTACTGATGCAGACCTGATTGTAGCCCATTACTTGGTGGGAGTACGGCAAATAATAAATTATGGGCTCAGCCCATCATTCAAAATTTTGCTCCGAAAGGCTTATGTTTGATTAAAAAAGGCCTAACAAGAAAAATTCACCACTTCACCGTGACCTAGCCAGATTTGCACAGATCTACATTTTGGCCTTCATTTATGATTTTGTCATTTTAGAAAAGATTTATTTTACCAACTTTCGTTAGAAAATTTTGTTTTCAGTGCTGCTTGTTTTGCACATTCTTTCCTTTCTAGTATCCAAATTGAGCTTAACTCAAATTTTTTTCTTTTTTGTAATTTTTTGTGATTTCCTTTGATTAGAGATTATTAGCAAGGACTTGCTTAGTTGGTTTGTTCCCTAATGCTATTAGGGTTTGCTTTCATTATAAATAATTACTGTAAGCCTTAGGGCTATCAATTGATGATTAATACAGATTTTGTTTTGAGGTTTTTTTTTTCTCAACCCTAGTTCTTATTTTTGGAATTCTTAGGACAGCTAAATAATAGAAGTTGTAGTGATCTCGTTGCAGCAGATTTTGCTTCTACACACATTTCTGCCAACATCAGTTAGTATTAACAGACACCTTTCCCAAGTCCTGATCACAACACAACAAGCAGTTCATGGTGGATGGCATGCCACTGTCGAAGATAAGTACCAACGATAATGAGTTTCACTAAGTTACACAGCTGCTGAAGAGCAATTAATTAGCGATTCAAAGAAAAAATTGATGCGCTGGCACTACAACTCTTCACCTGAATGTTGCTAATCAGTTTCAAAACCACATCCATCAAATCCACGTTATGTGGCGCAAGATTGTTGAGAGAGGTCAACAATCCTTTTTCTGAAAATAGGCAGCAAAGGGAAGATTCTGGGCCCCCAACTGATCCAAACGATGAGAATCTGATTTGAAACTTGATATTCCAAAGTTCACAGTATGTTTGCAGTCCAAGAGTTACTTGATTAGGTTGTTGCAGTTGAAGATGTTCTAGAAGTTTAAAAAGCACACCATGACAAAAGGATGTGTAACAACCCTCACTTTGTCCTAGACATGCTTGCATGCATTACATGATTTTCTTGTTAAGTTGCATTCGCAGACCTTGATTTGTTTTGTCTAAGTGTTACTTGTATGCTTTGCTCCTTGCTTGGTGTGTAGAGCTGAGGTCATCTTAAGCTAGTCACAACCTTGAACTTTTTGCACCTAGGACCATCTTGTAACCACTTTGGTTGACCTCTCTCCTCACCCTGGCATATTGGCCGAGATGTCATCATCTAGGCCGAGGTGTGCATCACCTAGGCGAAATGTGTATCATCTAGGCGAAGTGTTGTCATTTTAAGCAACCAACATCCTTGATCCTTGCACCTAGTGATCTTGTTCCTAGGACAGGTATGACCTAGACTGAGTGTGGCATATCTAGCCAAGGTGTGGCAGAAGGCAGCTAGGCCAAGTGTTGTCCTTCCTAGCCGAGATCATTGAGACTTTACTTTTCGACGCCTTATCCTAATCCATCATTCACTTGCCGGAGTGCCCATGTCACCCTTACTGTCAACACACTTTGTCATGCTCTGTCTTTCATTCTTCACCTTTTGAGGAGAACCAATCAGTGCATTGCCAATGTCCCAGCAGAGAGTTAAGCAGCCCGGGAGAGAGAGAGAGAGAAAACATATTCACATTGTCATATCTTTTTCTTTTAAAGAGAGAGAAAGCTCTAGAATAGAGGAAGAGAGGAGTTCTTGAGAGAGAAATAGATTTCCAGCTTAATCCTTAAGTTTAAACGTTTGATTTCGCGTTTTTGAGGTAAGAATCTTGATCAATCCCTTTTTGTTTCTTTATGTTTATTTGATTCACAGGCATTGCCATTTGATCTAGCAATGATTTCATGAGAAGCCATGCATTGATTTAAAAAAAGGCTTGTTGTTAAAAGAGAAAATGGTGTTCTTATCGTGCTCCTTGAATAAAACCATCATAATTTTGATCCGAAGCTTGTATCAAGATCCATGTTTTTGTGTTTGTTTTCATAGATCTTCAGTATGGGTACCCAGGTCCCATGTTTCAACTCATCTCATGAAAACTCAGATGAATAAAGAAGTTATGATTTTAGCATTCAGATCTTCATTTCTTTCAAGGGGCGAACCCAGATTTCCAGACTTCAATTTCCTGAATGTGGTCGCCGGGAACACACTCGGCGCAAGAGGTGTGGGACCTCTCGGTCCAGACCTGGTTGGTACTCAGCATGTTTCCGCTTGGATGGAAATGGGGCAGTGTTTCACTCCAAGCATGTTTTGCTTTGTTTTGACTTGGGTTTTGAAGAGGGAAATGTCGTGGATCATTTGCACTCATGTAAAGCTTGTTCTACGGATGCATTTCATATCCATCTTTGAGTATTTCTTCTTGTCTCCTTGAAGTGCATTCAGTGGACTTTACCATATATTTGTAGGTCTTGAATTCTTGCCTTAATCCCAGCGCCCGAAGAGCTATGTGAGTGGTATTTTTAATAAAGTTATGTTATAAAGTTTTGATAAAGCTTTGCTTCGTTTTGAAAAAGTATTTGATCAAGCATGAATGATTATTCCTAGTTTGTACAAGCACTATATTTGTTTTGATGACATTTTTGGAAAGTCCTTAGTGCTAGGGGACTAATATGCAACTAGCACCCTTGTTTGAAATATCTCCTTTGTTTTGCCACCGACGATTTTCCGCATGGGTTTGTCCGGAATGTCATCCCTTGTATTATATTGATGCTAGTAAGCATCTCTTGAAGCTTGAAGACTTGATAGATGAACTTGGTTCATCCTTTGATTTTGTACAGGATATGCTATGAATCGTTTTGATAAAGATCTTGAATATCAGTCATGCAAACCTTTATTTCTAATATCATTCACTAAGTATCCAAGCTCACCCTCTCCTTATATATTATGTAGGTGACGAGCAAGAAGGCGGTGACGCCTAGATGATTATTGCAACTTGTTTTGGATTCACATTTTTGTGGCATCTTGAAGATCATGGTTCTTGGCTTGTAGTTATTTCTTTTGTATATGTCGGCTTGAGAAGCCTTTTGATCAAAATGTATTATGTACTTATTTTATTTATATTTAAGTTGTAAGACCATGATAAGGTGTATGTCATTTCATTTAATCTATGCACAGCTCTTATGGACTAATTAGGTTTAAATTTATTACTTCCGCACTTGTAAGTCCCATATGTATACTCTGATTGCGTTGTGAATCTTTGTAAGTTGGCCTTCAGTAATCTCGGATTACTGGCCATCACGACACCATTCTACTAGGGACGGAAAGGGGTCGTGACAGATTGCTTGCATTGCAATGAAATTCCAAGGACAAGTCGCTGCATGGTAGCAACAACTCAAACAGAACCAGGTTTGACAATGAAAGCAGATTATTACATGGAGAAACTGCCTAAGCATATGCGTGCAATACTCTTACCGCACAACTATATGAAGATGTCATACAAAAACTCCAAAATTTGAGACGGAGTTCTATTGATGACTACACCACTGAGTTTTACCAACTTATTGCTCACAACTACCTAGCATAAGCATAAGATGAGTTGGTATCCCAACACATTGGATCTATGAGGTTGCGGCTTCAAGATGCTTTGAATTTATTTGACCCAGTTTCAGTATCCAGAGCACGTGAGAGAGCATTAAATCTAGAGAATCAGTTGAATCGAAAATCGAATATCGAATATCGAATATCAAAAAGCATCACAGGATTCCAAGGTAGTGGTGATCGCAGTGGTAGCTGAACTACGCTCAAGCCCCTAATCATAACATGACCTCATAGGGCGTAACTAGAAAGGGGCCTGAAGGCAATCAACTTAACCATATACTGTCCGGTGGTGCTATTACACACTGCTTTAAGTGTGGTGAATTGGACACTGAATGACAGATTATAAGACGGGTGAGCATTTGGGAGAAGGGTTGTTTGTGGACAGTGGAGATTGTACCAATGAACAAGAAAGAGAATATGAAGAAGACCCTATGTTTGACACTAGAAAAGATCAAGAGGAGTACGTCCAAGGTGATGAGAGTCTCCTATTGGTAGTTCTAAGAGCTGCTTGTGTTTCTTCTTGAAAGAAAGACCAAAGGTCATGAGTGGCTTTGAAACGACATCTTCTAGATTACTTGTACCATTGGAGCCAAGGTGTACAAAGTTGTCATTGGCTCAAGCAATTGTGAGAATATAGGTTTTGAAGAAGCTATCAAGAAGCTAGGATTGGCAACAGAAAGACATCCATACCCTTACAAGTTGTCGTGGCTCAAGAAAGTGAATGAGGTAACTGTATTCAAACGATGCTTAGTTTCCTTTTCCATTAGGTCAAAGTATAAGGCCAGTGTTTGGTGCAATGTGATGACCACGGATGGAACGCCTTGGTAGTATGACAGAGTTCCGCATGATGGGAACAAGAACACCTACAATTTCCTGGCAATAAAACTAAGATTTTAATTCTACCAAACAAGGAGAGTGAACTCAAAAACCCCCTTCAATGGAGGGTAATAACCTCCTACAAAGAATAAACTTCAAGGGTGAGATGAAGGAATCTGGGATAGGGTAAAAGAGTGAAGTTGGTCGTACAGTCTCTGAACCTGTACAACCTCTAGTTGAAGAATTCAAGGAACTCTTTCTTGAGGACTTGCCTAAGGGATTACCACCTCTAATGTCATATACAACACCAAATTGATCTAGCATCTGGATTTAACCAGCCTAATCATCCCCACTACCACACGAGTCCAAAGGGTCACGAATAGTGGAGGCAATAAATGGAGGTCTTGCTTTCTAACTGCCATATTAAGTAAAACCCCAGTCCTTGTATTGTACCAAAATTGCTCACCCCTAAAAGGATGGAACATGTCAAATACATGTGGATGGCCGTGCAATCAACAAGAATAACTGTATGATACAAATTTACAGTTGCCTAGTCAAATGACTTGTTGGACCCAGTTATGTGGTGCAACCTATGTTACACGGACTCGGGTACGGGTATCGGGTGCAGGTGCGCATCTAGGGGTCAGACATTTCAAAATTAAAAATTAAGGATGCGTGGATATGTATCCAAATTTGGATACGGGTATGGCGATACGTTAAATAGTTTTTTTTTTTTTAAATATATTTATTATATGAAGATGAGTTATATTATATAAATAACAAATAATTTTTTTATAAATATTTTTATTTTAATATACATTATTTATTTTATTTATTTATATTATTTTTTAAATAATGTGTTTTAATTAATTTTTTTATTTTATTTTATTTTACATATATGTGTTTTTTTTTTATTAATATATATAAGTATATATTATCTTATAATATGTATTATATATTATCTTATAAATATATTATATGTTATATAATAATTATTATATAATATATAATAATAATAGTTATTATTACTATATATAGATAGATACGAATAGTCTATTCGGAATAGATATGAATCAAGAGAAGATATGAATCAAGTCAAGAGATAAAACGACAAAGAGAGAGATAGGGGGGGGAAGAAGTGAAACGACCTATCGCGATCGCGATCGAGAGGGAGAGAGAGAGAGAGAGTTGTCTGGGGTGTTCGACTGTTCGATCGACTGATGGAGCTTCGATCTTCGACTGGATCGACCGGATCGAGCTTCGATAGGAGGTCTTCGATCTTCGACTGGATCGACTAGATGGAGCTTCGACCAGGTTCTCTCTTGCTCTCTCCTCTTTCATTTCTTTTGTTGTCTGTAAAGAGCCGTGTCCGAGAGAGAACAGGCGAATCCGACACAGATCCCACACCCGCACCCGTGTCGTGTCGTGTCGTGTCGACACGGGTACTTCGCCTCAAAGTGTCGAATCCATGCAACACAGGTTGCAACTATGTTCAGAAAACTGGAATTAAACAGTGGCAATCGCCATATTTGAATTCAACCTGGCGATAAATGGAAGACATCTTTCAAGACTCATGAGTAGGAGTGAACAAAAAACCGACTGAACCGAATAAACTGATCGAATTGAACCAACTAATTTGGTTGGTCATTTTAATTGCTTTCTGTTTGTTCAGTTTCCAAATGACAAAAAAAATTGGTTTCCAGTTTGGCCACCAGTTTCAACATTGTAAATCTCAAAACCGACCAAAACCCAACATTTAATACATCGTGAACGTTGTACAACTATGACTTGTAAATTGTATTTCAAATTTAAAGTGCTTTAAGTGCTGTCATTACTCATTAGTGTTGGGCAGGGTGGCAACTTTATGTCATGTCATACCTCTTCAACTTATCTCGATGTCAACTTTCTCTCTCATATAACTGATGAAACCCTTACTCTAAACTCATCTCTCTCTCAAATATAATACCCAATTATATCTAAAATTGCTCAGAGAAAGCAAAACCCCACCTTCACTCGCAGCCCTTCCTGACATATCGTTCTCAATAAACCCTTGCCCTTCTCCCCTTCTGTAACACCCTTTTCCTCAACCATTCCTGAAACAACCTCTCCTTCCCCCTCCCAATATAGGATCTCAACTCTCATGGCGACAACGACAGCAAAGTACACAACAGATCTGAGATCGTAAACGGAAACTACACTGGAACTGAACACAAAATACGATCTCTTCTTATCTCACCCTCACTTTTTGTTTGGTACAAGACAATTTCTGAAAATACATCTGGGATTTGTGGCAGAAAATATTCTTTCTCCATCTCACTCTTTTTCGTTGGGTGGTTGATTTTTGTTCATTTATTTTATTAAAACCCATATATGAAAAATCAAAACCCGACCAAATCCGACCTTGACTCGGTCAATTTCAAATAAGAGATCAATAGATAATGGATCAAGAAATCTCTCACCCGAAATGTTCGGTTTGGTTGATGGTCAAGGGTGAATCCAATCCAAACCACCTCATCAACACTCCTACTCATGAAGGCTTATATGAATGGCTAGTTATGCCATTTGGGCTGTCCAATGCTTTGTGTACCTTTATGCACGTTATGAACCATTTCCGCCCATTCACTGGCAGGTTCGTTGTAATCTATCTTGATTATATACAGCACTAATATCGATTTGCATGTTCAGCATCTTCAAGAGGTTCTCACAGTGTTGTGAAAGGAGAGGTTATTTGCTGCCATAAACATGTGCTCCTTTATGACGACATGTACTCTTGACAGACAATGACTTGTTTCTTGAGTAAGTAATATGCAACGGTGGCTCATCTATAGATGAATCCAAGGTGGATGCAGCAAAAGAGTGACTAAGAGTGTCAATGAGGTTCTAAATCTAAACTTCCACGGCTTGGTGTCCTGCTACCAGCAGTCAGTTCATTACAGTTCAATTATGATGCCAATAAGAGATTGCGCTGAAAGTGGGGGAAGATGGAAGCTGCAACAGATGCCCTTCATCAGATCAAGCAAAAAATAACCACTACACCAGTTCTCTCCTTACTCGACTTTTCACAACCCTTTGAATTACTTTGTGATGCATCTAAAATAGGAATTGGAGTAGTGCTGAGTTAGAATGGCCGACCAGTGGCCTACTTCCATAAGAAGTTGAGCAGGTTCAAGATGAATTACAGTACCTATGACCTGTAACTCTATGCAGCGGTATGGGCTTTGAAGAATTAGAGTTCCTATCTGGCTTATAATGAGTCCAAACTCCACTCTGATCACGATACTTCGAAGCACACCAACAGTCAGGATAAGCGCTGCTCTAGGCAAACTGACTTCATTATGCACAAAGGTTTCGTATTTAGAGGAAATCAGTAGTGTGTACATGACAGCAGTGTGCACTTTACAATCATACAAGATGGATAATGAGGGACATATGGGATGTGACAAGACTTTGCAGTTGGCAGCTAGTTCACATTTATGGCCTTCAACGTGAAAGGAAGTTGCCAAACATGTCGGATCTGTTTAATTTCCAAGGGGTCTATAACTAATGCGGGATTATACATGCCTCCTCCAATTTCAAACCAGCTATAGACCAATGTCAGTATGGACTTAATTTTGGGTTACCTTGAGCATAGTGTGGTAATGATTCCATCTTTGTGCTGGTGGACAAATTTTCCGATATGGTGCACTGCATTGCATGTTAGAAAACTGTCAATGTTGCTCAACTGTATTTTCAAGAGGTCTATGGCCTACATGAACTGCCACTGTCCATTGTTTCTGACACGATATACTAAAGTCATTTTTTGAAGGGGGGTGTGGCGTATTTTTTAAATTTCATGAAAACATAAGAGATTAATATAGTTTACCAATCCGTAGTGCAGCTCAAAGATGACTAAAATACAGTACATCACCTTGATGCACACCACCTAATAAAAATTAAGGAATGGATAGAACTTTCATCTCACTTTGACATATGGGGATTCAGCATACCACTTGTTGCAATTTCTGCAGGTTTCGTATTATTTTTAAAAAAAAATGATAAATTACACTGACCTCCCCTATGCTTGGAGAAAATGACCTCCCTTTTAGAAAGGTTAAACGGGCTGGAACTAATGCAAATGTTGCTAAACACAAAAATAAACAATGTAAATTATACATTCTAGTGTAAAATAGATGACTTCATTTTTCCATCAATATGACTAACACTTTCCTAATGAAAAGGGAGCTAAGTGTTATGTGAATTAGAACCTTAAGGGAGCTCAATGTAATTATGCTAAACTTGTGGGATTTACTGTATTTTCTCCAAACCTCGGGGGAGGTTAGCATAATTTACCCCAAAAAAATATATATTTGGTTTTGTGTTTTTCACTAGTAGGTCGGAGGGAGATGGGAGCAAAAACAAAATTGGAGTTTAAGTGCAACTGTGAGAAGGGACATGATGCAGAAGCTCGATGAATAGGCTTTATTATTTTGGGGCTGCTCTGGATGCTGTGCACAGTACCCATGCAATGTTATACTTAATCTCGTTTTTCCCTGAACTCCTTGCTATCAAACAGCAAAGAATGTGACCTTTAACAGTCTCAAGATAAGTTTTATATTGTTTTATTACTCCCTTGTAATTTGTATTGTACTCCCATGCCTCCACGCCCAGCATAAGGTGCTACCAATTAAAATTGAAAACCATAACATATTACATCATTGTTATGAAATTGGCAGGCAGGTAAAAACACAGCAGTGAGTGCTTCATGGTCATTCATAAAAGAGAAAGTGAGCATTCCCAGCTGCTCAGGCACATCAAGTAATGGATTTCAGTATTTAAGTCTCAAACCTTAATTCCAAGTGTTAAAATGATTCCAAAACTTACCTTGTTCATTGTGTCAATATATGCTGCAGAAACCTCAGTATATACCTCCTTGCCATGCTCCATGAGAAAGGAAATAATATACCTACATGTGCAATAATTTCACACTGATTTACTCAAAACTCTGGTTGATCCATATATTAACAAAGGCAAGTCGTAACTAAAGCAGTCCATTAACAAAGATTAAATTGATCAAAAAGAAAGCAATGCATTTAAAGAGTTTTTTAACTACCACACAATGATAACCTACATGTGGCACATCATATGTTCATATCAGCGTGCCCGACTTGAGCTAGTAGCTCCATATCATAGAAACCGGGTATGCTGATTCAGATGATATCATAGATTAACAGCCTAGCTCAAATGATTTGTTTTCTCAGAAAATCCTCCAGGGAAGAAAATGCTAGGAATTAATCCTGCAGAGATAGGTGAGTGACATCCCAAAGTCTAATTCTCCTCCAGCTTACCCATGTGTATGGTGTGAGAGCACTTGTGTCGCACGGGTTAGCCTCATACAAAATGGGACGGGACACAATGGTAACACAAAAATAAATAAATAAAAGCAAAATAATCTACAACTTGAATATTGGAAGAAGATTATCTTTTTTAAAAGGGAGGGGGGAATTGAGAGATCCATGACTGTTAACCTACCAAAAGCGAAATTTAACCATTAAAGAATACAACAAAAACATCAACTTAATTATATTCATCCTTGGTCTCTTGACTCCGTGAATCAAACCCAAACCCAAGTCCATGATGATTATTGTTATCATCGTCATCAAGTTGTCAGTCAATCAGGTTGAACAACCTGTACATAAGACAGCTCAAGTTCGGTCGAACAGAGTAGCTTAAGCATGGCTCAAGTTCCACCAACCAATACATGTTTACAATTAGTGTCCATATTATTTAGTTCTCATTTTATTTCTGCAATTTAACTGTCACTCATGAATAATGAATCTATGGGTGATGAGTAGAGTTGGGTCAAGAAGGGCAAAAGCCTATTCCCTTCCCACTCTGTAAACCCCAAGTCAAGTTCTTTGGTAATAACAGGTTGAACCTTATCCAGAATTAATGGAGGATATGGGTTCTTGGACCCTAATAACCAAGCGGCGACTTTGATAAAACAGGCCTTTGGCCCATGATCTTTTAGGCTCATGGGGAATTGAATAAAATGGATCCATGCAGGCCACAGTGATGACCAAATGTGACTTCAAAAAATAAAGGATAATTCATCATGGACCACTGAACTGAGTGGCTTTCAAAATAAACAAGCTGAAGGTATTGGCTAGTGCTAACTAGCAAGAGCAAGACCCATATCCTCATGTCTTGCAGTGATCCAGTCCAATACAAACTCCTTTCTTTGTAGCCGTTCACACCCCCAAACAGCACAAACAATTCTCTCTTCTTGCCTAATTAAAACCCTAAACCCTACCTTGCTGTTACCTAAACCAACCCACATTTTTACTATCCTTTCAACTAAAAATATCAATTAAATTAACCCCAAGGGGTTGGCCAAGAGGTAAAGACTTGAAAATAAGATCCAAGGTCCCGAGTTCGAGTCAACCTAAGGAGCTACTGGAGGTTTGCCCAGTCATTAACTTCAGGGCCCTAAAATTAGTCGAGGTGGGCACAAGCTAGCCCAGACACTTGGTTATCAAAAAAAATACCAATTAAATCCTCAAAGCCAACTTTTCTGCTGCATCTTTACTTGTTTCAGGCTAGGAGTCTTACTAGCCTATACATACACTAGAGCCAACTTTCAACAATTAGCTATTATCTTTTTCTAATAAATGTGTGTATTTCAGTCAGCAAAATGGCACCAACGGAATAACACCCATATACAAACTCAAAAGGGGGAAGATACGCAAAACAACGAGAAAACGAAATCAACAAGATATACATCCCATTTACTCAAAAGACTCTACAAAAACAAAAGAACAAAAATAAAACTGATCCAGGGGGGTCCATTTGTATACTTTTATAGTTTAGGGAGCCAAGTGACACTTCTAAATAGTTAAGGGGTCCATCTGTACACTTTTATAGTTCAGCGGGTCAAAGTGATACTTTACAATAGTTTAGGGAGTCTCCATGTAAATAACCCTTAAATTGAAGGATTCTTACAGACAATTTTGCCAAGAAATCAAAAGGAGCTAGAAATTAAATAGATGACTTGTCGACTCCCCAATCCTTAAACATACAACACTCATTCACATGAATCTGCCTCATCCTAAGATTATCAATCATGAGAACCTTCCCATTAAAAAAACCACTTTCGTGGCAACGCTCCACCCCCAAAAACCAGTCCATGGTAGGCCCTCCCCTTATTACCCAACAACACCTCATAGAAAGACTTAACTTCAAACCTCCCAGACTTTGACATCAGCCATCTCATCCCATCCTCACTCTACCCCACATTGTGAGAAGCATACAGACCAGTGAGGAGGTCCTCAAAATCTTCAGTCTCCCAAGCATTGCAGCTACCTACGAAAGGATTATCTCAAAAAACTAGATGACCATCAGATCTAACATAGTCAGTAATAGCTGCTATTTTATTGACAGCAACAGAAGCCAAAGAAAGAAAAGACATCACAAGCCTCTTCTCACCACAGCAAACCTGACTCCAAAATTGCACCTTTCCCTGCCTCCATCCGAATATGACTCAAAAAAGCTTGCCTAGCCCCCCGAATGCTTTCCAAAAGTGTCACCCCATGGGACAGAAACACCTCCAAAGAAGGCCTGTAACACCCTAGGTGTATCTATTGCATGACATGTTTATAGTTCTCATTTTAATTCTTGGAATGCCTAAATTTAAATTTGCTTTATTTGATATATGACACACATGAAGGCATGCTTAGAAAATCTTTTGGCATGACTTAGAAATATTTGTTAACATAACCAAACCAAGTCACGCCTTAAGTCCCATCAAATGGGGTCGGCTACATGAATCCTTCTCCACTCGACTCTATCCAAGGCCATATCGTTAGTCAAATTAAGGATATTCATATCTCTATTTACTACACTAACCCATATCAATCTATATCTGCCCCTTCCCCTAACACTTCCATCTACCGTTACTATATCGCATCTCTTCACTACTGCCTTTGTTGGTCTTTGTTGTATATGACCAAACCATCTCAACATATTCTCTCTCAACTCATCTTCTATCAATACTACTCCCACCCATTCGCGAATATACTCATTCCTAACTTTGTCTTTTCTAATCTTGCCACACATCCACCTTAACATTCTCATCTTAGCAACACGCATCTTATCTACATGTTATTTCTTAATTGCCCAACATTCCGTCCCATACAAATCACTAGTCTAATAGCTGTTCTATAGAACTTCCCTTTTAGTCTAGTGGGTACTCGTTTATCACACAGTATCCTAAACTCACTCCTCCACTTAAGCCATCCTGTTTTAATTCTATAGATCACATCCGCTCCAATCTCCCTAACCGTTGTGATAATCGATCCTAAATAACAAAAATGTTCACTATTCTTGGTTCTCAATATTCACTTCTCCTCTGCTTCCATTTTTACTGTTACTAAAATTACACTCCATGTATTCTATCTTAATTCTGCTTATCCTAAATCTTTTAGATTCAAGTGCTTCTCTCCATGTCTCCAACTTAGTGTTAACTCATTCTCTAGTCACATCCACTAACACGATATGATTTGCAAAATGCATACGTTATGGCACATCATCCTAAATATTTCTCGTCAACTCATCCATAACTAAAGAAAAAAGATAAGGACTTAAAGTTGATCCTTGGTGTAACCCTACAGTAATTGAAAATTCACTTGTCTCTCCAGCAGGCAACCTAATAGTAGTCACCACACCTTCATAAATATCCCTAATCATATCAATATAACCTTTTGTCACCCCTTTCTTCTCTAACACCCACCAAATTATATCCCGAAGCACTCTACCATCTGCTTTCTCAAGATCGATAAAAACCAAATAAATGTCTCTTTTCTTTTCTCTATATTTTTCTATTACTCTTCTCAAAAGATAGATCACTTCCATTGTTGACTTAACAAGCATAAACCTAAATTGATTCTCTGACACCTCTGTTATATCTCGCAATCGATGTTCCATCACTCATCAGACACATAAGCTTGATTCCTCTATAGTTGTTGCAGTTCTAGACATCTCCTTTATTCTTATAGATTGGCACTAAAATACTCTTCCTCCACTCCTCGGATATTTTCCTAGTCAACAAAATCTTACTAAATAATCTAATCAACCAAGCAACCCCCTTCTTATCCAAACATTTCCAAGCTTCAATAGGGATATCATCAGATCCTAAAGCCTTATTCGATTTCATCTTTTTAAGTGCAATCTCCACTTCAAAATTTCTAATCCTACTATAGAACCTGTAATCCTGGTTTTCCTTAATACTGTCTACTTCCTTCCCTTTTGACCTACCTCCATGTTCTTCATTCAACAACTTTTCAAAATAGTTTTTCCACCTCTCCTTAATTTGTTCATCCTTCACCAACACCTTAGAGTTCTCACTCTTGATGCACTTAACCTGGTTAACTAACATAATATTATCACCTTTCCTAATGACCACCACTACATTTTCTACAAAACCCTTGGTAATTATTATTCCCACCCAATGCCTGTGTCTATCATTGCCACTATAATACAGTTTAAAACAGGTATCCTCTATTTCCGTAACTTTCTCACTCGTCCACTTAGTTTCTTGTACGCAAGCTATACTAACTCTCCTTCTAATCACAACATCTATCAATTCTATAGTCTTACCAGTTAAAGTTCCTACATTCCATGTGGCTACGTTAAACCTATAGTCTTGGACTAACTTCTTTCTCCGCGCTCCTCCAAAAATGCGCAAAAGCCTTTGCCCATTTTTTACCTCACCCAGGCGTCAATGCAACGCCCTTTACTTTTCAAAACACCCGAAGGCAGGCGCAACGCGTCACTTAAGGGGAACGACATAACATTTAATCGATTCAAAGTAGGATTCATTTTCACACGGGATCCGAGCTGCTTTTTACGTGTTAGTTGTCGGCTACCTAACACACAACCCTCCTCCTTTACCCGAGCCTGGGACCGGCAGAGTTGTTAAACAAGGTGCTTAGTAGCCTTAGTTTAATGTGCTCAACATTCTTATGTACTATGTGAA